CATGCTGTGAATAATAGAATCCAAATTTGTCAAGCGTGAAAGATCAGGATCACACATGAAGTTCTGATTAAACTGATTTATTACTAATCATGCTTATGCACAGCTCAGCTGATGGTTGGTATTATCTTGGCATTAGATAGGGTCAATGGAATTCAAGATGGGTTGAACATAGTCTGTTTGTGGCTACATAGAGACTCTAGACTGATTCCTCTTTTGACGCCTCCCCAAGATTCTGCCATTTTTTTCTCTACAATTAGATGGACAAGTAGGCATGGTAAACTGTGAGTGCGTATTAAAGGGGATGTTGAAGCATAGATAGATTAGAATAAATGAAAAACTTAAAATTAAAAGAGAGAAGACTTCCAAATAAACAGGAAGATTATTGGACCACCACATTGGAAGAGGCAGGCACATTCATGGAAGATCGAATAAATGAGCATACATTCCAGTACAGAGAAGTTCCCTGAAAATGGACTCCATCACAAGTCAGAAGACTAAACCTCTAGTCCGGGTGACTGCCCAGATTCGATCCTGAAGAATAAACAAGTTCTTAATATTCAACTAAACAAGGAACTGTATTGAAAAGAGGTCTAACACTTGAGCTATTCTTCTTGGGTGAGGAATTGCAAAAAAAAATTTGCTTTTCAAAATAGATTTTGAAGGATGTTCATGGATTTGAAGAAGGGCAAATCAAGGAGACCAGATGTTCTTCTAAAAGCATTGGGTATGAAAATGACCTATGGACTCTGGCATCCAAGCACCTTCTTCTGAGTCTTGCTCAAAGACGCACACGTCCCTTTAACTCCAGATAAAATCAAATAATTTGGTCAATCTAGCAAATAATTTGGAATGCTTGGCTAATTATTAAAAGACAAAAGGTGGATAGGGTTAGTAAATACATGATTCCAGGAAAAAGATTGTATAGTTTTGATTCTGTAGAGCAGAGCATGCTCAATTCCTAGTAATAATTAACTAAAGGCATACTTTGAGGATTCATGGATGAAATGGCATCAACCCAGAATATATGAAAGAAGTGTCAAGTGTTCCATGTAATGCACTCATAGAAAACAGAACTTTGAGGCAGACAGGTTCCTCAAAGAACAGTTTATTGGATACTTCATATTGGCACAACTGTTGAAAGCTGACTCTGAATTTTCCTGCAGCTTTCACCTGATTAAAAGTAAAAGTCCCCCCCCCACACACACACACAAGTCACTGATCATGCTGTCCAATCCAGGTGCTGTCCTGTTGCTAGGTTACTCAGTCCTCCACTGACCAGCCACCTGTGAGAATGTCCTTGGTTCCCACAGGAAAACTTTATTGTTTAGGCTACAAAACCCCATCTAACTATTTCCCCCCCCTCCCACCATTGTGTGGCAACCCTGAAGCCTCCAAGATGGCTTCAGCCGACGTCACTTCAGGGTTGACAAAAAGCAAACGTGCACTCAGTTTACAACCCATTCTTAGTTACTATGCATGCAAATTGTAACGAATGCAAGCAAAATTTGCATCACTGTTAATGAACCTGCAGAGGGCAGAGCAGATTGTTTTGTAATGAACTAATTGCTGCCCCCCTCCTCCCCCTCTTTGTTAGAGTTTCTGCTTCTAGCTGGAAAAGTGCAAGCCATTTGATGACATTTTAGATCAGGTTTCTCCAAAATGGTTAATGGTGACCCTCCAGAGTCAAGGGGGGGGTCAATGATGTTGTTCTTATTATTATGAGTAAAAATAGTATGTGTTAATTTTCATATAATGTTTGGCGGAGTAATGAACAATCTGAAATTCCCCTTCATTCGTATCTGAAATTTCATGAAGGAGTCAATGTGTTGAAGAGTTTGGAATGGTTGAAAATGAGAATCATAAATTTTGAGTAGGGCTTTAGTGCTAAATAATAATTACAGGTTAGGCACATTATAGTCACTGACATTGGCATATTTACTATCCTGAGTTTAAGATGATATCCTCCCAAAAGAAAGAAGATGGGTGTGGGGGGAGGCACGCAGAAAAATGTAGTGTCCAAATTAGCACAGGTATCTGGTGAAAACCTCATCTATCTATTGAGTTAAGACTCAATGTATTTTAAACAGTGCCTGGCAAACAGCCCTTTGCAGCCTGGTTGCCCTTGTGAAAAACTATCACTGTCTTATCAACCTTATTTTTGTTTTATTTATTTATATCCCATCTTTTATTATTTTAAGTAATAAGTAATTCAAGGCGGCAAACAACATAATATTCTTTCCTTCTGTCAGTGAAANTTTCCAGCCAGTCTAGGCCACATCTTAAACAATAGAGAGTTTTCAATTTGGAGTTCCACTGCTACAACATATCTAAATAATTTCTTTACGGTATATAAGGTTATAGCACTATAGATTGTTGAGTAAAATAGATTTGGAGATCTGTTATTGTTCATGTTAATGATTTTGACGATAACAAACTTTATTTTACTATTTTCCCTCCCCCTTCTCTATTGTTTCTTTTTTTAAATCATGTCTACATGCCATTCTTTTAAAAAGTCAAGGCTTTTCAGTGAATTGCAATATATTAAATAAAAATAATAATAGAGAACATGCCGCCACAATCTTAATTTGATAGTATAATCCATTTCCTACTTTGGAACTGCATCAACTTCCTAATAATTTGACTCCTCTTTAATTGGGGGCTATGAACACAGCAAAATATACACCAAAAGGTGTATATTAGGGTGAGATCAGTGAAGATACAAAGCAACTTGAAGAAAACTCTCAAGCTTAATATTACAAACTACATACCTTTTAAGGAGGCATTTATTCAATTACTGCATCCTAAAAACACTTGCTCGGGAAAAAGAGAAAAACACAATCGATCCCTCCCACACATACTTTATAAACATATTTTACAAAATGGAACACAAATGGAAACCATCCTATAATAGAAGATAATGCAACCTTATGTAATTTAAAAGTTGCTCAGATCTGGCAAAAAGATATTCATGTACAATCAATCTAAAATGACAGACTCTCCCTTAAATACATTCTTTTGACTTATTTAGACTGCAATTCTGGCTTTATTTCCCTTGAGGTCAACCAGGGAATGTAGCGGGTCTTCACTTGAAGTAAATATGCTTTGGATGATGTTCTCAATCTTCTAGATTAAAGTAATTGTATCTGTAATTAGACAGCAGAAGGGCCTCTTTCAAACATAATAAGCAGTTTTATGTCTTCTTGTGTTGTTTGTCTTGTAAATTTTGACTTGCTGCCAGCTAGCTTTAACTATAACTGTTGAAATATACTTGTCTTATTTAAACAGAATAATGGGCAGAATGGAGTGGTTGGAAAGAAAAAGAGAACAAAAGGAAAAAAGAGCCGAGGTAGCATGTCAGGTACCTCTACTGATGCTCTTTCTGCTGTGTTTTCTTCTCTTGTTCCCCCTCGTGATTTCTTCAAGCCGACAGCTTCTCCAGCACCTTCAGCCGACATGGCTCCCATCAGTTCTGGGTCTTCTACTTGGACTTCCTCAGGCCTCCCCTTTTCTTTTGTCTCCATGGCAACGGGGATGGGGCCTTCCTCTAGCGGGAGCCAGGCTACAGTGGCTTCCGTGGTCACTAGCACCTTACTGGCCGGTCTAGGATTTAGTAGCAGTGGTATTTCTTCTTTCCCTAGTACGGTGTGGCCAACCCGGCTCCCGACCTCTGCCTCGACTAATAAACAGTCGGCCAGGCCAGTGGTGGCTACCACCGAGGCATTGTCTTCTCCAGCACCAGACAGTGATTCTGCTCTCCCAAAAGACAATGAAGGAGCTGAGGATGGAGAGAAAGATGAAAAAAGTGAAAGCGAGGATGGCGAAAGAGAGCACGAAGAAGAGAGAGAAAAGGATTCTGAGAAAAAAGAGAAAAGTGGGGTGACCGAAACTGCTGAAACACAGGATAACAGTGAAGCTGCAAACACCACTCTTTCTCCCAACAGAACTATGGAGCAGGGAGGAAATGAAACTATATCTGATCATGAGCAAAGCCAAAATATTGTACCAACAGGTAGGACTCCTGCAAGCCGAGAAGGACTTACAGGAATAGACACTGCGTTCAATACAGTCAGATCCACCCAAGTGCCGACACTATTCATTCATGAACAATACACTGGTGAGATTCCAAGAAGACCAGAAACAGCATCAACATCTTTACCAAAAGATAACAGATTTATTACCATTTACCCAGGTGAGTTGTTTTGGTGGAAGTGGGTTGGGTTGTTTTCAAATCATTAAAACACAATTAACAAAATTAACACCAGTGCTTTTCAACTGTTATCAAATCAGGGGGTTCATATATTTTGTAATAGAAGCTAATTTCCATACTGTGTTCCAAATAGTTCATTTTTATTTCATATATTCGCTGATCCAAGATAAAGAGTAAAAATAATAAAAGTTGCACATACTTATTTGCTGGTCAGAAAACTCTGAAGCTTTGTATATACTTCTTCAGTTTCTCCTAATCAGTTATTTGTGTGGCTTAAGCCTTTTCTCATTTCAGGTTTCCTCTTAAAAGTATTGTGTCATAAATATGGTGTTATTTCTGTAGGATACAAATATTCTTTTCACAAAACAGCCTTTATTTTAGTAATTTATCTTATTACCAAATAATAGACTTAAGCATTTAGATTAACAATGGATAACATATTGCATTTGAGAAAATAATAATATTTAAAAATTGAACAAGTTGTCCCCCAAAATCCGACACCAAAGAAATAAAGACCATGCTGTGAATAATAGAATCCAAATTTGTCAAGCGTGAAAGATCAGGATCACACATGAAGTTCTGATTAAACTGATTTATTACTAATCATGCTTATGCACAGCTCAGTTGATGGTTGGTATTATCTTGGCATTAGATAGGGTCAATGGAATTCAAGATGGGTTGAACATAGATTTAGATTTTAGATTTTTTAGATTTAAAGTTTATTTATATGCCGCCCTTTTCCCTGGGGGGACTCAGGGCGGCTTACAACTTAAA